TTCAGAGAGGAAGGGAGAAGAAGAGATAGAAACATCAATGATGAGAGAACTGCATGTCCCCTACTGGGAATCGAGCCTGCAACCCAGGTGTACCCTTGACTGGAATCAAACCTGGCACCTTTCAGTCTGCAGGCTGACGCTCTATTCACTGAGCCAAATCAGCTAGGCCAGGAACATACTTTTTGAATGAATGGATGAATGAATGAATGACTATTACTAAAGGTAAAAGATGGCAAAATTAAAACTTACTTGAATTAACGGAATAAAAATATTTATGACACAAATATTAAGAACTACATACTTTTCTCCATAATTCTTTTATCTTTACATTCTCTACAGCTTCATTTCCTCCCTACATGCATTGTCCCGGCTTTTCACTGTCCCTAATATGATACTGAAGCTTATTTTTATGATATTTTATTTTTTATTTAAGCAGGTTATTAGTATTTCCTAATTTAAAAGCCAGATGGAATACACAACAGAGTAAAAAGGCAATTTATGGGATAGATGAAAATATTTGCAAATCATCTGTCTAACAAGTGGTTAATATTTAGAATATATGACAGACTCCTACAACTAAGACATTAAAAATCAAGCAAAGGGCCCTAACTGGTTTGGCTCAGTGGATAGAGCGTCAGCCTGCGGACTGAAGGGTCCCAGGTTCGATTCCAGTCAAGGGCATATACCTTGGTTGCGGGCACATCCCCAGTAGGGGGTGTGTAGGCAGCAGCTGATCGATGTTTCTCTCTCATCAATGTTTCTAACTCTATCCCTTTCCCTTCCTCTCTGTAAAAAATCAATAAAATATTTTTTTAAAAAAATCAAGCAAAGGACTTGAATGGCCATTTTTCCAAAGATATACAATTGGCAAAAAAAAAAAAAAAACACAGGAAAAGATGCTCAACTGTTACTGGTCATTAAGAAAATGCAAATCAAAACCACAAGGAGAACTATGAGGATGGCTATTATCAAACAGTAAATACCAAGTGTTGGCAAGGTTGTGGAAAAAGTGGAACCCTTGTGTACTATTGTTGGAAATGTAAAACAGTACAGCAGCTATGGAAAGCAGTATGACAGTTCCCACAAAAACTAGAAGTAGAATTATTTTATGATCCAATAAGCCCACTCCTGGGCATATACCCAAAAGGATTGAAATCAGGG